GCTGCTTGTGTTGTTGCTGCATGTGTTGTTGCTGCTTGTGTTGTTGTTGCTGCAGGTGTTGTTGCTGCAGGTGTTGTTGCTGCAGGTGTTGTTGCTGCTTGTGTTGTTGCTGCTTGTGTTGTTGCTGTGTTGTTGTGTTGTTGCTGCTTGTGTTGTTGCTGCAGGTGTTGTTGCTGCATGTGTTGTTGCTGCTTGTGTTGTTGCTGTGTGTTGTTGCTGCTTGTGTTGTTGCTGCTTGTGTTGTTGCTGCTTGTGTTGTTGCTGCTTGTGTTGTTGCTGCATGTGTTGTTGCTGCAGGTGTTGTTGCTGCTTGTGTTGTTGCTGCATGTGTTGTTGCTGCTTGTGTTGTTGCTGTTGTTGCTGTTGTTGCTGCATGTGTTGTTGCTGCTTGTGTTGTTGCTGCTTGTGTTGTTGCTGCATGTGTTGTTGCTGTTGTGTTGTTGCTGCTTGTGTTGTTGCTGGTTTGTGTTGTTGCTGCTTGTGTTGTTGCTGCTTGTGTTGTTGCTGCTTGTGTTGTTGCTGCAGGTGTTGTTTGTGTTGTTGCTGCAGGTGTTGTTGCTGCAGGTGTTGTTGCTGTTGCTGTGTTGTTGCTGCTGCATGTGTTGTTGCTGCTTGTGTTGTTGCTGCAGGTGTTGTTGCTGCAGGTGTTGTTGCTGCATGTGTTGTTGCTGCATGTGTTGTTGCTGCTTGTGTTGTTGCTGCATGTGTTGTTGCTGCATGTGTTGTTGCTGTGTGTTGTTGCTGCTTGTGTTGTTGCTGCTTGTGTTGTTGCTGCTTGTGTTGTTGCTGCTTGTGTTGTTGCTGCTTGTGTTGTTGCTGCTTGTGTGTTGTTGCTGCTTGTGTTGTTGCTGCTTGTGTTGTTGCTGTGTGTTGTTGCTGCTTGTGTTGTTGCTGCTTGTGTTGTTGCTGCTTGTGTTGTTGCTGCTTGTGTTGTTGCTGCTTGTGTTGTTGCTGCTTGTGTTGTTGCTGCTTGTGTTGTTGCTGTTGTGTGTTGTTGCTGGTGCAGTTGTGTTGTTGCTGCTTGTGTTGTTGCTGCTTGTGTTGTTGCTGCTTGTGTTGTTGCTGCATGTGTTGTTGCTGCTTGTGTTGTTGCTGTGTGTTGTTGTTGCTGCTGTTGTGTTGTGTTGCTGCTTGTGTTGTTGCTGCTTGTGTTGTTGCTGCTGCTGCAGGTGTTGTTGCTGCAGGTGTTGTTGCTGCTTGTGTTGTTGCTGCTTGTGTTGTTGCTGCTGTGTGTTGTTGCTGCATTGTGTTGTTGCTGCATGTGTTGTTGCTGTTGTGTTGTTGCTGCAGGTGTTGTTGCTGCTTGTGTTGTTGCTGCATGTGTTGTTGCTGCAGGTGTTGTTGCTGCTTGTGTTGTTGCTGCAGTTGTGTGTTGTTGCTGCTTGTGTTGTTGCTGCTTGTGTTGTTGCTGCTTGTGTTGTTGCTGCAGTTGTTGTTGTTGTTGCTGCAGTTGTGTTGTTGCTGCTTGTGTTGTTGCTGCTTGTGTTGTTGCTGTTGTGTGTTGTTGCTGCATGTGTTGTTGCTGCTTGTGTTGTTGCTGCTTGTGTTGTTGCTGCTTGTGGTGTTGCTGTGTGTTGTTGCTGCTTGTGTTGTTGCTGCTTGTGTTGTTGCTGCTTGTGTTGTTGCTGCTTGTGTTGTTGCTGCTTGTGTTGTTGCTGCATGTGTTGTTGCTGCTTGTGTTGTGTGTTGTTGCTGCTTGTGTTGTTGCTGTGTGTTGTTGCTGCAGTTTGTGTTGTTGCTGCAGGTGTTGTTGCTGTGTGTGTTGTTGCTGCAGTTGTGTTGTTGCTGCAGGTGTTGTTGCTGCTTGTGTTGTTGCTGTTGTGTTGTTGCTGCTTGTGTTGTTGCTGCAGTGTGTTGTTGCTGCAGTGTGTTGCTGCTTGTGTTGTTGCTGTTGTGTTGTTGCTGTTGTGTTGTTGCTGCTGGTGTGTTGTTGCTGCTGGTACAGTGTTGTTGCTGTTGGTGCTGTTGTGTTGTTGCTGCTTGTGTTGTTGCTGTTGTGTGTTGTGTTGTTGCTGCATGTGTTGTTGCTGCTTGTGTTGTTGCTGCATGTGTTGTTGCTGTGTTGTTGCTGCATGTGTTGTTGCTGCTTGTGTTGTTGCTGCATGTGTTGTTGCTGCATGTGTTGTTGCTGCTTGTGTTGTTGCTGTTGTGTTGTTGCTTGTTGTGTTGCTGCTTGTGTTGTTGCTGTGTGTTGTGTTGTTGCTGTGTTGTGTTGTTGCTGCTGGTGTTGTTGCTGTTGTTGCTGTTGGTGTTGCTGTGTGTTGTTGCTGCATGTGTTGTTGTGTGTTGTTGCTGCAGGTGTTGTTGCTGCTTGTGTTGTTGCTGCTTGTGTTGTTGCTGTGTGTTGTTGCTGTGTGTTGTTGCTGCAGGTGTTGTTGCTGTGTTGTTGTTGTTGCTGTTGTGTGTTGTTGCTGCAGGTGTTGTTGCTGTTGTGTTGTTGCTGCTTGTGTTGTTGCTGCAGGTGTTGTTGCTGCTGCTGTTTGTGTTGTTGCTGCTTGTGTTGTTGCTGTGTTGTTGCTGCTTGTTGCTGCTGTGTGTTGTTGCTGTTGTGTTGTTGTTGCTTGTTGTTGCTGCTTGTGTTGTTTGCTGCTTGTGTTGTTGCTGCTTGTGTGTTGTTGCTGCTTGTGTTGTTGCTGCAGGTGTTGTTGCTGCTTGTGTTGTTGCTGCAGGTGTTGTTGCTGCTTGTGTTGTTGCTGCTTGTGTGTTGCTGCTGTGTTGTTGTGTTGTTGCTGCTGCTTGTGTTGTTGCTGCTTGTGTTGTTGCTGCTTGTGTTGTTGCTGCTTGTGTGTTGTTGCTGTTGTTGTGCAGGTGTTGTTGCTTGCTGCTTGTGTTGTTGCTGCAGGTGTTGTTGCTGTTGTTGTGTTGTTGCTGCTTGTGTTGTTGCTGCAGGTGTTGTTGCTGCTTGTGTTGTTGCTGCTGTGTGTTGTTGCTGCAGGTGTTGTTGCTGCTTGTGTTGTTGCTGCTGTGTGTTGTTGCTGTTGTTGCTTGTTGCTGTTGTTGCTGCTGTGTGTTGTTGCTGTGTTGTTGCTGTGTGTTGTTGCTGCTTGTGTTGTTGCTGTTGTGTGTTGTTGCTGCTTGTGTTGTTGCTGCTTGTGTTGTTGCTGCAGGTGTTGTTGCTGCTTGTGTTGTTGCTGCTTGTGTTGTTGCTGCAGGTGTTGTTGCTGCTTGTGTTGTTGCTGCCTGTGTTGTTGCTGCATGTGTTGTTGCTGCTTGTGTTGTTGCTGCTTGTGTTGTTGCTGCAGGTGTTGTTGCTGTTGTGTTGTTGCTGCTTGTGTTGTTGCTGCTTGTGTTGTTGCTGCTTGTGTTGTTGCTGCTGTGTTGTTGCTGCTTGTGTTGTTGCTGCTTGTGTTGTTGCTGCATGTGTTGTTGCTGCTTGTGTTGTTGCTGCTTGTGTTGTTGCTGCTTGTGTTGTTGCTGCTTGTGTTGTTGCTGCAGGTGTTGTTGCTGCTTGTGTTGTTGCTGCAGGTGTTGTTGCTGCTTGTGTTGTTGCTGCTTGTGTTGTTGCTGCATGTGTTGTTGCTGCTTGTGTTGTTGCTGCCCTTGTTGTTGCTGCAGGTGTTGTTGCTGCTTGTGTTGTTGTTGCTTGTGTTGTTGCTGCAGGTGTTGTTGCTGCTTGTGTTGTTGCTGCAGGTGTTGTTGCTGCAGGTGTTGTTGCTGCAGGTGTTGTTGCTGCAGGTGTTGTTGCTGCATGTGTTGTTGCTGCAGGTGTTGTTGCTGCATGTGTTGTTTCTGCATGTGTTGTTGCTGCAGGTGTTGTTGCTGCTGCATGTGTTGTTGCTGCATGTGTTGTTGCTGCTTGTGTTGTTGCTGCAGGTGTTGTTGCTGCAGGTGTTGTTGCTGCTTGTGTTGTTGCTGCTTGTGTTGTTGCTGCTTGTGTTGTTGCTGCATGTGTTGTTGCTGCATGTGTTGTTGCTGCTTGTGTTGTTGCTGCAGGTGTTGTTGTGCTTGTGTTGTTGCTGCAGGTGTTGTTGCTGCTGCTTGTGTTGTTGCTGCTTGTGTTGTTGCTGCATGTGTTGTTGCTGCATGTGTTGTTGCTGCTTGTGTTGTTGCTGCTTGTGTTGTTGCTGCATGTGTTGTTGCTGCAGGTGTTGTTGCTGCTTGTGTTGTTGCTGCAGGTGTTGTTGCTGCTTGTGTTGTTGCTGCAGGTGTTGTTGCTGCTTGTGTTGTTGCTGCTTGTGTTGTTGCTGCTTGTGTTGTTGCTGCTTGTGTTGTTGCTGCACAGTGTTGTGTTGTTGCTGCTGCAGGTGTTGTGTTGTTGTTGCTGCAGGTGTTGTTGCTGCAGGTGTTGTTGCTGTTGTTGTTGCTGCAGGTGTTGTTGCTGTTTGTGTTGTTGCTGCAGTTGTGTTGTTGCTGCAGGTGTTGTTGCTGCTGTGTGTTGTTGCTGCAGGTGTTGTTGCTGCTTGTGTTGTTGCTGCATGTGTTGTTGCTGCTTGTGTTGTTGCTGCATGTGTTGTTGCTGCATGTGTTGTTGCTGCATGTGTTGTTGCTGCTTGTGTTGTTGCTGCATGTGTTGTTGCTGCATGTGTTGTTGCTGCTTGTGTTGTTGCTGCATGTGTTGTTGCTGCTTGTGTTGTTGCTGCTTGTGTGTTGCTGCTGTGTTGTGTTGTTGCTGCTTGTGTTGTTGCTGCATGTGTTGTTGCTGCATGTGTTGTTGCTGCTTGTGTTGTTGCTGCATGTGTTGTTGCTGCTTGTGTTGTTGCTGCTTGTGTTGTTGCTGCTTGTGTAGTTGCTGCAGGTGTTGTTGCTGCAGGTGTTGTTGCTGCTGCTTGTGTTGCTGCAGGTGTTGTTTCTGCAGGTGTTGTTTCTGCTTAAGTTGTTGCTGCTGGTGTTGTTGCTGCAGGTGTTGTTGCTGCATGTGTTGTTGCTGCTTGTGTTGTTGCTGCAGGTGTTGTTGCTGCTGCAGGTGTTGTTGCTGCATGTGTTGTTGCTGCTTGTGTTGTTGCTGCATGTGTTGTTGCTGCTTGTGTTGTTGCTGCATGTGTTGTTGCTGTGTGTTGTTGCTGCAGGTGTTGTTGCTGCTTGTGTTGTTGCTGCTTGTGTTGTTGCTGCAGGTGTTGTTGCTGCAGGTGTTGTTGCTGCTTGTGTTGTTGCTGCTTGTGTTTTTGCTGCAGATGTTGTTGCTGCAGGTGTTGCTGCTGCAGGTGTTGTTGCTGCATGTGTTGTTGCTGCTTGTGTTGTTGCTGAATGTGTTGTTGCTGCTTGTGTTGTTGCTGCATGTGTTGTTCCTGCAGGTGTTGTTGCTGCAGGTGTTGTTGCTGCTTGTGTTGTTGCTGCTTGTGTTGTTGCTGCAGGTGTTGTTGCTGCAGGTGTTGTTGCTGCAGGTGTTGTTGCTGCTTGTGTTGTTGCTGCTTGTGTTGTTGCTGCAGGTGTTGTTGCTGCAGGTGTTGTTGCTGCAGGTGTTGTTGCTGCTTGTGTTGTTGCTGCTTGTGTTGTTGCTGCAGGTGTTGTTGCTGCAGGTGTTGTTGCTGCAGGTGTTGTTGCTGCAGGTGTTGTTGCTGCATGTGTTGTTGCTGCATGTGTTGTTGCTGCAGGTGTTGTTGCTGCATGTGTTGTTGCTGCAGGTGTTGTTGCTGCTTGTGTTGTTGCTGCATGTGTTGTTGCTGCATGTGTTGTTGCTGCTTGTGTTGTTGCTGCATGTGTTGTTGCTGCTTGTGTTGTTGCTGCTTGTGTTGTTGCTGCTTGTGTTGTTGCTGCAGGTGTTGTTGCTGTTGTTTGTGTTGTTGCTGCTGGTGTTGTTGCTGCAGGTGTTGTTGCTGCATGTGTTGTTGCTTGTACAGTTTGCTGCTTTGTGTTGTTGCTGCTGGTGTTGTTGCTGCTGGTGTTGTTGCTGCAGGTGTTGTTGCTGCATGTGTTGTTGCTGCTTGTGTTGTTGCTGCAGGTGTTGTTGCTGCTGCAGGTGTTGTTGCTGCATGTGTTGTTGCTGCTTGTGTTGTTGCTGCATGTGTTGTTGCTGCTTGTGTTGTTGCTGCATGTGTTGTTCCTGCAGGTGTTGTTGCTGCAGGTGTTGTTGCTGCGTGTGTGTTGTTGCTGCTTGCTGTTGTTGCTGCTGCTTGTGTTGTTGCTGCAGGTGTTGTTGCTGCTTGTGTTGTTGCTGCTGTTGTTGCTGCTTGTGTTGTTGCTGCAGGTGTTGTTGCTGCAGTTGTTGTGTTGTTGCTGCAGGTGTTGTTGCTGCATGTGTTGTTGCTGCTTGTGTTGTTGCTGCATGTGTTGTTGCTGCTTGTGTTGTTTGCATGTGTTGTTGCTGCAGGTTGTTGCTGCAGTTGTGTGTTGTTGCTGTGTTGTTGCTGCAGGTGTTGTTGCTGCAGGTGTTGTTGCTGCTTGTGTTGTTGCTGCTTGTGTTGTTGCAGGTGCAGTTGTGTTGTTGCTGCAGGTGTTGTTGCTGCTTGTGTTGTTGCTGCTTGTGTTGTTGCTGCATGTGTTGTTGCTGCTTGTGTTGTTGCTGCAGGTGTTGTTGCTGCATGTGTGTTGCTGCTGCTTGTGTTGTGTTTGCTGCAGGTGTTGTTGCTGCAGGTGTTGTTGCTGCAGGTGTTGTTGCTGCAGGTGTTGTTGTGTGTTGCTGCAGGTGTTGTTGCTGCATGTGTTGTTGCTGCTTGTGTTGTTGCTGCAGGTGTTGTTGCTGCATGTGTTGTTGCTGCAGGTGTTGTTGCTGCTTGTGTTGTTGCTGTTTGTGTTGTTGCTGCATGTGTGTTGCTGCAGGTGCTGTTGCTGTGTTGTTGTTGCTGCTTGTGTTGTTGCTGCAGTGTGTTGTTGCAGGTGTTGTTGCTGCATGTGTTGTTGTGTGTGTTGTTGCTGCAGGTGTTGTTGCTGCATGTGTTGTTGCTGCTTGTGTTGTTGCTGCTTGTGTTGTTGCTGCTTGTGTTGTTGCTGCAGGTGTTGTTGCTGTGTTGTTGCTGCAGGTGTTGTTGCTGCATGTGTTGTTGCTGTGTGTTGTTGCTGCAGGTGTTGTTGCTGCTTGTGTGTTGCTGCTGCTGCTTGTGTTGTGTTGTTGCTGCAGGTGTTGTGTGTGTTGTTGCTGCAGGTGTTGTTGCTGCTTGTGTTGGTGTTGTTGCTGCTTGTGTTGTTGCTGCAGTGTGTTGTTGCTGCAGTGTGTTGTTGCTGCTTGTGTTGTTGCTGCATGTGTTGTTGCTGCAGGTGTTGTTGTGTTGTTGCTGCTGCAGGTGTTGTTGCTGCAGGTGTTGTTGCTGCTTGTGTTGTTGCTGCAGGTGTTGTTGCTGCAGGTGTTGTTGCTGCAGGTGTTGTTGCTGCAGGTGTTGTTGCTGCTTGTGTTGTTGCTGCATGTGTGTGTTGTTGCTGCTTGTGTTGTTGCTGCTGCTGCTTGTGTTGTTGCTGCTTGTGTTGTTGCTGCTGTGTTGTTGCTGCATGTGTTGTTGCTGCATGTGTTGTTGCTGCTTGTGTTGTTGCTGCATGTGTTGTTGCTGTGTTGTTGCTGCATGCATGTGTTGTTGCTGCATGTGTTGTTGCTGCTTGTGTGTTGTTGCTGCTTGTGTTGTTGCTGCTTGTGTTGTTGCTGCTTGTGTTGTGCTGCAGGTGTTGTTGCTGCTTGTGTTGTTGCTGCAGGTGTTGTTGCTGCAGTGTGTTGTTGCTGCTTGTGTTGTTGCTGCTTGTGTTGTTGCTGCTGTGTGTTGTTGCTGCAGGTGTTGTTGCTGCTTGTGTTGTTGCTGCTTGTGTTGTTGCTGCAGGTGTTGTTGCTGCATGTGTTGTTGCTGCAGGTGTTGTTGCTGCATGTGTTGTTGCTGCTTGTGTTGTTGCTGCATGTGTTGTTGCTGCTTGTGTTGTTGCTGCATGTGTTGTTCCTGCAGGTGTTGTTGCTGCAGGTGTTGTTGCTGCTTGTGTTGTTGCTGCTTGTGTTGTTGCTGCAGGTGTTGTTGCTGCAGGTGTTGTTGCTGCTTGTGTTGTTGCTGCTTGTGTTGTTGCTGCAGATGTTGTTGCTGCAGGTGTTGTTGCTGCAGGTGTTGTTGCTGCATGTGTTGTTGCTGCTTGTGTTGTTGCTGCTTGTGTTGTTGCTGCTTGTGTTGTTGCTGCAGGTGTTGTTGCTGCAGGTGTTGTTGCTGCAGGTGTTGTTGCTGCAGGTGTTGTTGCTGCTTGTGTTGTTGCTGCAGGTGTTGTTGCTGCAGGAGTTGTTGCTGCTTGTGTTGTTGCTGCAGGTGTTGTGGCTGCAGGTGTTGTTGCTGCAGGTGTTGTTGCTGCAGGTGTTGTTGATGCATGTGTTGTTGCTGCAGGTGTTGTTGCTGCATGTGTTGTTGCTGCTTGTGTTGTTGCTGCTTGTGTTGTTGCAGCATGTGTTGTTGCTGCAGGTGTTGTTGCTGCAGGTGTTGTTGCTGCATGTGTTGTTGCTGCAGGTGTTGTTGCTGCAGGTGTTGCTGCTGCTTGTGTTGTTGCTGCAGGTGTTGTTGTTGCTGCAGGTGTTGTTGCTGCAGGTGTTGTTGCTGCAGGTGTTGTTGCTGCAGGTGTTGTTGCTGCAGGTGTTGTTGCTGCATGTGTTGTTGCTGCATGTGTTGTTGCTGCTTGTGTTGTTGCTGCTTGTGTTGTTGCTGCTTGTGTTGTTGCTGCATGTGTTGTTGCTGCTTGTGTTGTTGCTGCATGTGTTGCTGCTGCTTGTGTTGTTGCTGCTTGTGTTGTTGCTGCATGTGTTGCTGCTGCAGGTGTGTTGCTGCAGGTGTTGTTGTTGCTTGTGTTGTTGCTGCAGGTGTTGTTGCTGCAGGTGTTGTTGCTGCTTGTGTTGTTGCTGCTTGTGTTGTTGCTGCATGTGTTGTTGCTGCAGGTGTTGTTGCTGCTTGTGTTGTTGCTGCATGTGTTGTTGCTGCATGTGTTGTTGCTGCAGGTGTTGTTGCTGCATGTGTTGTTGCTGCAGGTGTTGTTGTTGCTTGTGTTGTTGCTGCATGAGTTGCTGCTGCAGGTGTTGCTGCTGCTTGTGTTGCTGCTGCTTGTGTTGCTGTTGCTTGTGTTGCTGCTGCAGGTGTTGTTGAGCATGTGTTGCCGCTGCAGGTGTTGCTGCTGCTTGTGTTGCTGCTGCTTGTGTTGCTGCTGCATGTGTTGTTGCTGCATGTGTTATTGCTGCAGGTGTTGTTGCTGCATGTGTTGTTGCTGCAGGTGTTGTTGCTGCATGTGTTGCTGCTGCTTGTGTTGCTGTTGCTTGTGTTGCTGCTGCTTGTGTTGCTGCTGCATGTGTTGTTGCTGCTGATTGTGTTGCTGCTGCTTGTGTTGCTGCTGCAGGTGTTGTTGCTGCTGATTGTGTTGCTGCTGCATGTGTTGCTGCTGCTTGTGTTGCTGCTGCATGTGTTGCTGCTGCTTGTGTTGCTGCTGCATGTGTTGCTGCTGCTTGTTTTGCTGCTGCAGGTGTTGTTGCTGCTGATTGTGTTGCTGCTGCAGGTGTTGTTGCTGCTGATTGTGTTGCTGCTGCAGGTGTTGTTGCTGCTGATCGTGTTGCTGCTGCATGTGTTGCTGCTGCATGTGTTGCTGCTGATTGTGTTCCTTGTGCTGCTGTTCCTTTTGTTGCTGTTCATTGTTTTAAAGTTCATAGTGTTTCTATATATACTCCTTATGTTCCTGTTCATTGTTACTGTTCCGTGTGTGTGTTGCTTGTCACTTACTCTTCCACCTTCCCTTTCCCACACCTCTTTTCCCCTTTCCACCCTGACAAGGGGCCTGACAGCTGAGTGGACAGAGCTTGGAATTCGTAGTCCTAATGTCTCGGGTTCGATCCCCGGCGGAGGCGGAAACAAATGGGAAGAGTGTCTTTCAACCTGATGCCCCTGTTACCTAGCAGTAAATAAGTACCTGGGAGTTAAACAGTTGCTACGGGCTGCTTCCTGGGGGTGTGTAACAAAAAATGAGGCCTGGTCGAAGATCGGGCCGCGGGAACGCTAAGCCCCGAAATCATCCTAATAAGAGAACGTTAAGATAACACTCTTCTTCCCACATCTCTCGCCTTCTCTCACTTCTCCTTTACTCTCCTTTCCCTCTTACCACATCCTCTGCCTCTCCCACCTATCTCCCACTCTTTCTTTCCCTTGTCTGTCCTTTCAAACATCCCCGTCCCTCGCACTCGTCCCTTGTCTCCCTGTCTCAGACTCTGTCTCTGCCCGTGTGTCTCTGTTGTCTCTCTGTCTCTAAGTTTTTCTCTGTCTACTTATCTTTTTCCCTGGTCGACCGGGTCTTTCTGTAGAACTTTCTGTGTATCTCTGTTTCAATGTGTCTGTGTCTCTATCTTTCTGTGTCTCTGTCTCATTCTGTATCACTCTGTCTTTGTTGTTTTTTGCTATGCCTCTCTCTCTCTCTCTCTCTCTCTCTCTCTCTCTCTCTCTCTCTCTCTCTCTCTCTCTCTCTCTCTCTCTCTCTCTCTCTCTCTCTCTCTCTCTCACAGAAATCAGTTATAATATATAATAATTCCCCCCCCCCATTGGCGTGCGGGTTGAGCCAGCGACAACAACTGAGCATCGTAAAACATTACAAATATAATAGTCTCCCGTTGGCTTCAAGAAAACCTTTGAAGGTGTGGGAGATTCATCTGTTTTCTGCTACTGTGGGCAAAGTATGATTAATAGAAAATTAAACGCATTATAATATATTACACGTATTAAACGTCAGTTGCAAATTCAGGCGATGGGCCAATGAAAATTGTGATTACACAAATGTGTCAGGTGTTGGACAGAGGGAAACTAGGTGACTGTAGGGGAAATGGGAAGGTTCAGTTCCATTCCCAGTGATGATGGGGCATTAGGAACTCAAGTGACATCATGGGGATGAGGTTCTGGGCAGTGAGGTCATCATTAGGTTGGTGTCTCTTGTTAAGGTGATGTCATGGACGTCTCTCGTGTCATTGTTAAGAGCACTGATTGAAGATGTCAGATTAGACGCCAGGTGAGCGTGGGTGATGTCACAACCAGGTACTGACATTGAAGGTTACATCCTTCAATGGGGCAGGTGTACATGTATACTTCATGGGGGGCATGGTGTACATATACACATCATGGGGGGCAGGTGTACATATACCCATCATGGGGGGCAGGTGTACATATACACATAATGGGGGCAGGTGTACATATACACATCATGGGGGGCAGGTGTACATATACCCATCATGGGGGCAGGTGTACATATACCCATCATGGGGGCAGGTGTACATATACCCATCATGGGGGGCAGGTGTACATATACACATCATGGGGGGCAGGTGTACATATACACATCATGAGGGGCAGGTGTACATATACACATCATGGGGGCAGGTGTACATATACACATCATGGGGGGCAGGTGTACATATACACATCATGGGGGGCAGGTGTACATATACACATAATGGGGGCAGGTGTACATATACACATCATGGGGGGCAGGTGTACATATACACATCATGGGGGCAGGTGTACATATACACATCATGGGGGCAGGTGTACATATACACATCATGGGGGGCAGGTGTACATATACACATCATGGGGGGCAGGTGTACATATACACATCATGGGGACAGGTGTACATATACACATCATGGGGGGCAGGTGTACATATACACATCATGGGGGGCAGGTGTACATATACACATCATGGGGGCAGGTGTACATATACCCATCATGGGGGCAGGTGTACATATACACATCATGGGGGGCAGGTGTACATATACACTTCATGGGGGCAGGTGTACATATACACATCATGGGGGGCAGGTGTACATATACACATCATGGGGGCAGGTGTACATATACCCATCATGGGGGCAGGTGTACATATACACATCATGGGGGCAGGTGTACATATACACTTCATGGGGGGCAGGTGTACATATACACATCATGGGGGGCAGGTGTACATATACACATCATGGGGGGCAGGTGTACATATACCCATCATGGGGGCAGGTGTACATATACACATCATGGGGGGCAGGTGTACATATACCCATCATGGGGGCAGGTGTACATATACACATCATGGGGGCAGGTGTACATATACACTTCATGGGGGCAGGTGTACATATACACATCATGGGGGGCAGGTGTACATATACACATCATGGGGGGCAGGTGTACATATACCCATCATGGGGGCAGGTGTACATATACACATCATGGGGGCAGGTGTACATATACACTTCATGGGGGGCAGGTGTACATATACACATCATGGGGGCAGGTGTACATATACACATCATGGGGGGCAGGTGTACATATACCCATCATGGGGGCAGGTGTACATATACACATCATGGGGGGCAGGTGTACATATACCCATCATGGGGGGCAGGTGTACATATAAACATCATGGGGGCAGGTGTACATATACCCATCATGGGGGCAGGTGTACATATACACATCATGGGGGGCAGGTGTACATATACACATCATGGGGGCAGGTGTACATATTCACATCATGGGGGGCAGGTGAACATATACACATCATGGGGGGCAGGTGTACATATACCCATCATGGGGGCAGGTGTACATATACACATCATGGGGGGCAGGTGTACATATACACATCATGGGGGCAGGTGTACATATACACATCATGGGGGGCAGGTGTACATATACACATCATGGGGGGCAGGTGTACATATACACATCATGGGGGGCAGGTGTACATATACACATCATGGGGGGCAGGTGTACATATACACATCATGGGGGCAGGTGTACATATACACATCATGGTGGGCAGGTGTACATATACGCATCATGGGGGCAGGTGTACATATACACATCATGGGGGGCAGGTGTACATATACACATCATGGGGGCAGGTGTACATATACACATCATGGGGGGCAGGTGTACATATACACATCATGGGGGCAGGTGTACATATACACATCATGGGGGCAGGTGTACATATACACATCATGGGGGCAGGTGTACATATACACATGATGGGGGCAGGTGTACATATACACATGATGGGGGCAGGTGTACATATACACATCATGGGGGCAGGTGTACATATACACATGATGGGGGCAGGTGTACATATACACATCATGGGGGGCAGGTGTACATATACACATCATGGGGGGCAGGTGTACATATACACACCATGGGGGCAGGTGTACATATACCCATCATGGGGGGCAGGTGTACATTTACACATCATGGGGGGCAGGTGTACATATACCCATCATGGGGGGCAGGTGTACATATACCCATCATGGGGGGCAGGTTTACATATACCCATCATGGGGGCAGGTGTACATATACCCATCATGGGGGCAGGTGTACATATACCCATCATGGGGGCAGGTGTACATATACCCATCATGGGGGCAGGTGTACATATACCCATCATGGGGGCAGGTGTACATATACCCATCATGGGGGCATGTGTACATATACACACCATGGGGGCAGGTGTACATATACACATCATGGGGGGCAGGTGTACATATACACATCATGGGGGGCAGGTGTACTTAAACACATCTTGGGGGGCAGGTGTACATATACCCATCATGGGGGCAGGTGTACATATATACATCATGGGGGCAGGTGTACATATACACATCATGGGGGGCAGGTGTACATATACACATCATGGGGGGCAGGTGTACATATACACATCATGGGGACAGGTGTACATATACACATCATGGGGGGCAGGTGTACATATACACATCATGGGGGGCAGGTGTACATATACACATCATGGGGGGCAGGTGTACATATACCCATCATGGGGGCAGGTGTACATATACACATCATGGGGGGCAGGTGTACATATACCCATCATGGGGGCAGGTGTACATATACACATCATGGGGGCAGGTGTACATATACACTTCATGGGGGGCAGGTGTACATATACACATCATGGGGGGCAGGTGTACATATACACATCATGGGGGGCAGGTGTACATATACCCATCATGGGGGCAGGTGTAAATATACACATCATGGGGGGCAGGTGTACATATACACTTCATGGGGGGCAGGTGTACATATACACATCATGGGGGGCAGGTGTACATATACACATCATGGGGGGCAGGTGTACATATACCCATCATGGGGGCAGGTGTACATATACACAACATGGGGGCAGGTGTACATATACACTTCATGGGGGGCAGGTGTACATATACACATCATGGGGGGCAGGTTTACATATACCCATCATGGGGGCAGGTGTACATATACCCATCATGGGGGCAGGTGTACATATACCCATCATGGGGGCAGGTGTACATATACCCATCATGGGGGCAGGTGTACATATACCCATCATGGGGGCAGGTGTACATATACCCATCATGGGGGCATGTGTACATATACACACCATGGGGGCAGGTGTACATATACACATCATGGGGGGCAGGTGTACATATACACATCATGGGGGGC